AGAGTATTTTATTGAAGTTACAATAAATACATAATGGTCAGTTTCAGTGGTTTTCTGACTCTGCATCAAGTTACATCTTGACTTCTCCAACTCATCTGTATTGGACACCCTTCATGTCTCAAAAACACCCATGTCGAAAGTGTTTTTACCAGAATAACTACAATGTATAAAAAATGTATACATATTAATTTAGAAAATTAGTTTCCAGTTCAAGACAGAAAATAGGTAATGATAATCAACAATTGGACACATTTTGGCATATATTTAAATATCTAGGTGAGGTAGTTTGTTTATTGTGCCAACCTGGCCAATAAACACATGTGGGGTTAATTGAAGGGTGGAGGGAGAAATGGCTCAGTGAGCACCTCCTCTGGTTCTCGGGTCTCTTGCTTTGTGATGGTTGAACAAGGGCGCAGCTGCCTTAACCAGTTCCCTGCTTCAGCTGGCAAGGCTTACTTCTTGCAAGATATTCTTGAAGAGAAGCTGCATGGACCTATCCCGATGCAGCCCTGGGTGCTGGAGCAGCCATGTGGAGACTCCCGCCAGCACTGAGATGCTTACATGCTGACTGATTCAGCTTTCCTCCTCCAGTTGGCATTGTGTTTGTTTTGTGAGATGGAGGAGGACTTTGTGGATTGGTGTCAGACATATGGGTTAATGTTGGACTTGTGGGCTTGGGCAGCACTGAGTTGGGATGTTTTCTTGATGTGCACTTACCCTTTATATAAAACTCTCTCTTATACATGAGTTTCTGTGTATTTGTTTCTCTAAAGTACCCAGACTAATGCTCTAGGCATGTGTATTTCTAGGTATATGTACATATATGTTTACTTATATAATAATTCACACAAACAAGGGGGTATCCTCCAAAATGGATTTTTTTTTCAAAGCTATGCATTGAATTTTTTTTTTAACAAAACAACCTTAGCACAGTCAAGGTACTCTCCATTACACTAAATTCATTTGCCAAATCTGGGATTCTATTTTTTGAAATGTTTTTCAAACTCATCTGTTTGAATGGCTGAAAACATCTCCCTTGTTTTTTATTTCACCTCTTCTACATAGTCAAATTGCTGTCCTTTCATGTCCCTCTTCATCTGCACAAGCAAAATGATATCGCACGGAGTCAGGTCAGGAGAGTAAGGTGTGTGGGGCAGGAGAGGAATGCTGTATGTTTCCAAAAACTGGCACAACTGAGATGGCTGCATTGAGCAGGCACATTCTTGTGGAGGCAAAATCAGACCACTGTGTGCCACAAATCAGGCCATTTTTGTCACACACTGTTATGCCATCTTTTCAGAACCTCTAAATAGAAAGCTTGATTAAGAGTCTGGCCTGCTGGAACAAACTGCAAATGCACTGTCCCCTCACATCAAAAAAACAAAGGAGTGTCATCTTGATGTTTGATTTCACTTATCCAGCTTTTTGAGGGTGAGGTGACAATGGCGTCTTCCACTGGTTTGATTGCTGTCATAAGAATAGTACCATGTCTTCTCACCAGTAATGATATTGGAAAAAAGTTTGGGTCGCTTCAGATCTGTCCTTTCAAATCATGGCATGTTTACCCTCAAAGCTCTTTTTCCTGGTCAGTCAGAATCCAAGGAACAAATTTCGCAAGGATCCTTCTCATCCTCAAATCTTCCTAGGATTAAAATTCTGTAGACCAAGCTCCAAGATAGTCCAGATAACTTCCCCAACTCTTCAATAGTCCATCGTTGGTCTTCGAGTCCAAATACATGAATTTTGTCAACATTTTCATCTGTTCAAGAAGATGAGGGACTTCCAGAACAGCTTTTGTTATCAAATGACATTTCACTTTTTTAAAAGCACTTGAGCTTTTCCCAGAGGGCTGCCTTTGTAAGCTATGTTCAACAACACAACAGTCTGCAGCATTTTTCCAGAGCAGGAAACAAAATTTCATAGTTGCACGGTGTTCTCTTAAATCAGCCATTAAAAAAAAGAAAAATTTATGGAGAAATGCACTGTGGCCAGAGAGAACCTTCCCAGGTAATGCCACTGGGAGCACTAACTCAGAGAGAGTTGCACAATGCTCGCCCAGCAGGAAAAAATGCACCCTACAAAAGCTATGCTCTGCCCAGTGCAATTCCATTTTGATTTGTTTTGTTTTTTTAATTTGTGGGGGCAGGGGTACCCCATCTTACAGAGTGGAAAGCTTCTGAGAGATACACATAATCATTACTTATATAATGTTGATAAAATCCACTTCCTCTCTTTGTTATTCACAAAAATTGCTTTCTTAATGAGATTAGGTTGAGTTAAGAGCTTGTACCAGGAGAATTCCCACTCTGGAAGCTCAGCATGTTTGGTGACAGGGGATATAGAACTTTCAACACAATTGTAAGAAGTTATGGAAGCATTCTTAAGCTATGTTCAAGTTTGACAACATTTTCCTATGTCAAAATATCTACAAGTGATGTTTAGGTTCTATAAAGAGACTAAATCCAATCTACTGCCGTGGATTATGGGTTGTTGCTAAGCACAAGGTAGGCAGTTCAAACTAACCAATCCTTCCGCAGGAAAAAGTTACAGCTACTTGCTTCTGTAAAGTTTTACAGTCTCAGAAGACCTATAGAAGAGTTTTACCCTGTCCCATGGGTCACTATGGTCATGATGAGTTAGATGATAACAACAATATTATACAGTAATTCTCTCACTCACTAGAATTTAACTTTCACAGACTATTTCAGAAGCCTAACCATTGTGTGCAATATTATTTCTATTGGAAATTATATGGAAATATATATTAGGTTATAATAAAATAACTTTGAAACATATTTTGAAGATGTGTATGATTTGAACTATTGATTGCTTTAAAAAATTTAAGGCTATTTATAGGGAAATCAATTGACGTTGATATTGATGAATTACGAATAGACAGATGAGAGAATTACCCAATGCCAAGGGAATATGTTCATGTGTTCTTAAAATGATTTTCTTTGTAACTTCATATAATCTTTTATAATTAATTTTAGCAATTAGCTTCCAGTGGAAGACATAAAATATATAATAATATTCTACAATTGGACACAATTTGGCATATATCTAAGCATGTCTGCTTCTATCTATATGTACATATATAATGAATAATTCATTGCTTCAACAAATATTTAGCATTTGTTTTGAGACAAGAATAATTCTAGATGTTAGCAATGCAATAATTAATAAAGTAAACATGGTCCTTACTCTCAAGTAACTTTGATTTCACTAATTACTTTTAAGATTAAAGGGTAGATTAAAAAAACAGCAAACTTATATAGTGGGAGTAACATACTGTGACAGTTTGGGAAGAAAATATACATTGGGAGAGTCATTAATAAGACATTATATCACTTAGATTACTCTTCTTGGGAAAGTTTTTAAATTTTGCATATCCTTTTTCATTCTTAAGGAACCCTGAGATATAAGGATTATGTGTTGGACTTCTATCCACAAGGTCAGCAGTCAGAACTCACCAGCAGCTCCTTGGGAAATAAATGAGATTTTCTGCTATTGTGAAGATTTACAGCCTCAGAAACCTACAGGAACAGGTCTAATGTGTCCAAAATTGAATAAATGGAATAACTTTAGTTTTTGTTTTCCTACAGATTTTCTGAAAGAATTATAATAAACAGCCTGAAAGTGCATAGCAAAAGTATATTCTCTGAAGCAAACTTGTGATGAGTTAGATCTATTATTAAAGAACCATACAAGGAAGCAATACATCTCTTTTAAAAGAGGGATGTGAGGAGTCAGTACATGTCTTTGTCATTCCTGCTCTTGCCTGTATTTGGGAACTTGAGAAATGAACCATAATCCCAGCCACAAACATCTCTACAAACCTAATGGTTTGTCTAAACTTCAGCAAGATTAATGTGGCACAAGCCAGGACTTGTTGCCAAGGTGTCTGAACCTCTCCCTCCTTCGGTTGTCAAGCTGGGAAATGACACCTTGCTTTGTGCAGTGAGTCACTTAGACTCAGTCACTTGGTACTTGGAGTACAGAAATGTCTGGTGAGGCACCCCAAGGTCCCTCAGCTGAGGTACTTGGGGGAAATAAGTGTAGCATGTCCACTCACCTTGCTAGGTCCATCTGATCAGGGGGATTTGACAAAGATTTTTGAGTCCCTCATCGAAAATGTCATGTAGAGCCATGCATAAGACAATACTCTCTCTCCACTAAAGTGTCTTCTAGGAGACAGAGCAACTGTTCCCTTACAATCGCTCATCTATGGGGCCAAGCAAAACGCAGATAGAAGTATGTCTTCCCCACCAGGAGAGTTTTGTTTCAGGGGGAACCTGACTCTCATATGACATTTCTTTTAGTAGGAAATAACATCCACTTCCCATGTTCCAATGTGTGCTTAGGCTCTGTTCAGAAGGATGTGGCGCTCATGGAGGAATCACATTTAGTGGTAAGCTTCCTGTTTCTAATGACCTCCTGGATCCTGGATGTTTAGTAATCTGGAATAGCCTGTGAGTACCGTGCAGTTACGGTGTCATTTTGAGGTACTGTATCAACAGATCAACTGTAGACAATATTTACTAGGTGCACATGTAAAAGCAGGTCCATAAAACAGATAAAAATGATATTTAATATAATATTTAAATAATTAGATATTATAATTGTATAATACTTAAAATAACTTAAAAATCATCTTATTGGGGGTTCTTACAGCTCTTATAATATTCCATGCATCAATTGTATTAAGCACATTTGTACATGTGTTGCCATCATCATTTCCAAAACATTCTCTACTTGAGCCCTTGGTATCAGCTCCTCTTTT